GATATATATATATATATACATACAGTATACATACATATTATATAAACCAAATAAAATAAAAATTGTCGCGACTCTCCGCCTGCTTCTTCTGTTCATAATGTTGCTCCCTTTACCTTCATCTCTTCTGTTGACCTCGACAGCAATATTTATCCATTTCAGATAAACTAAAGTATTGCTTAGATTTTTTTTTTTTTTTTGGCATCTAGATCCTGGATCCGTTAGCTGAAGTTGGATGCAATAATGACTATATGTACTCCATATATACAGCAGCGACTCAGATAACTAATCGCCAACTCAAGCTGAGTTCCGTTATCAATTTGTAGAAGCTTATTCCATATATCCGTTTTTCTTTCATCCGATTCGCGCTCAATTTGATTTGAAAATGTATATCTAAAATGCATGACAAATTTCGTAGCGATCTCGCAATACCGATACTGGTTTTGTAGCCCTTGAGTGAGGTTTCGATAGTTGATAAGATAAAAAAAATCGTTATATCGATATTTACCACGCAACTCTAGTTCTGTATGTGTGTGTTATTTCTTGTGTTTTGTGCCGCCTAGGAATTGAAATTTGCAACCATTTGCAAGCCTTTCGCAATCAATAATTTGAAAAGCTATTATTTGTGGCACACTTCGATTGTACAAAGCGTGTGCACAAATTCAAATCTTTAAAAACAATAACAATCGAAAATACGGCAAGAGAGTGAGAGAGCGACGCATTCAGAGCAGAGTCCGCCCGCGTGCCAGTACATGTGTGTGWGTGTTGTGTATGAGTATCGCCCGTGTGTGTATGAATGAAGCTGGCATGTGTATGCGTGTCTGTAAATGTGTGTGTGTTTTTGTACGGTTGGAAATTGTGTGATTAACTGCAGTCAGCCTCGTCTGGTAGTCATTCAAAAGTAGTATTAAAACGGCGGTGGCAGCAACAATTCGAGTCAACCAACTGCTACGGCGACGCACCAAACATTAAGCCGTTAAAACAACAGTCCCAGCTCCAGTTCCAGTCCCAGCAGCAGCAGCATCAGCAAAGAGACAATAAACACCCACGACGACATCAACAACCGACAACAACAACAATAGGAGCACCAGCAGCAGCAACATCAACCGTGGACAGTTTTAGTTGAAGTTCAATTTTCCAGTCGGTGCACAAAATGGATAGCAAAGGCCGAAAAGTTATTGTTTGTGATAACGGCACTGGGGTATGTATGCGTTGTGTGGCCACATGCTAACGCTGCCCGAAACCGAACCACAACCCGAACCCAAACCAAGCCCAAATCCCGTCTAGCTTCAAGTTGGATGACACACATATTTGCAGTTCTTTGCTTGCCTAGCGATGTAGGTTAAACAGCGATTTTCTTCGCATATCGGGGCGTTGACGTTGCGGGGGGGCGCTCCCCCTAATGTTGCCGGTCCAAGCTATGCTGAAGCCAGTGTGTGTGAGTGTGTGTGTGTGTGTACGTGTATACAATGTTCATATAGTTATTTATTTATGTGCACATACATGCATATATAAACGGAGCTTTAGTCATGGCCACACAAGCGTTGTACAAGCTGCGTCGGCATAGTATTACTCACCGCAGCAAATCAAAAGTTACGCATACTCTGCCTCTCTCTATCACACGCTCTCCCGCACATACACTCACACACACGCCCAGTGCCAACAACAAAAAGAGCGCCAGAATGAAGACAAACAACAACATGAAGCGGAGCACCCATTCCCAATCTTATTTCTTATCAGGACTAAAAAGAATTTGTTTGTGATTACGTTTCGCTGGGCCACATGAGCTATCGATTATTGCAAGTCTTCCGATAACTGAATCAATTGTTATATCCAAAAAATTCGAAATTCGAAATCTTTGTATTTTCTATTTTCAAATTGAGCTAATTGTAAAAATGATTGTAAATTTAATAATTTCATAAACGTACGTCAAATGATGTCTGAATAATGTTTTATCTTGATATTGCTGATAAGTCTGTGTAAACAAGTTTTTTTTTTTAAAGAAGTGCGTTCTAGATTTATTTTGCATTTAAAATCAAATATTATTAAAGAGATCTTCCACTATGAATAAGAGAAGTTGCACTATAGCGTTTAATTTTTAAAAGAACTTTAGAAATTCCTATGAGTTGAATCCATAATATAACTAGATAACTTAGTTTTATATAAATATTTCCATATGAAGAGTGATCTATAATTTAACTGTCAAACTCCCTTTACAGTAGTCGCTCTATAGAGTCTGAACGGAGCTTAGAGTTTCCTTTAGACATTAGATCATATTGTATGATCTATAATATAAGGCTCAAACTTCCTTTAGATATTTTTATACCCTGAACCCATTGAAAATGGGAAATCAGGGTATAATGGTTTTGTGAAAAAGTATGTAACGGGCAGAAGGAGGCGTGGCAGACCCCACAAAGTATATATATTCTTGATCAGCGTGACGAGCTGAGTCGATATAGCCCTGTCCGTCTGTCCGTCCGTCCGTCCGTCCGTCCGTCCGTCCGTCCGTCCGTCCGTCCGTCCGTATGAGTGCGTCGATCTCAGAAGTTATAAGAGCTAGAGAGCTGAAATTTGGCATGCATACTCGTGTGTACCATACGCAGTACGAGTTTGCTTTATTTTTTCGATAAATCGTCCGATAACTTTTTTATCGAGAATAATCGAAAAATTGATTTTGTTTTTTTAGCCTAATTTGAACATTTTTAGACCTGGAGTCTTCAAATTTGTGTTGTATATAAAGTTAATCGATACAAAGATTTTGTAATTTACAGATTTTGGATACCACGCCCCCTTCTCCCCCAATTTGTAAAAAACGCATTTCAAGTACTAGAGACTTGTGCTTTGGAATGTACACACATATTTACCATATGATTACACTCTGAAAGTTTCATTAAGATCATATGTTTACAAAAGAAATTATTCGACAAATAAATTCTCATAATATTGCCCACACTGCAGCGCAGCCCAAGCGCAGTCGCTGCTTACTGCGCAGTTAGCAGAGCGCAGGCTTATGCGTGCGTGTGGATGCAT